TAAAACTGGTGCACACAGAAACGGGCGCAGCTGTCCACGGTGGCCAATCAGCTTCCCAGTTTTATTGAACAAGCTGATTGGCCGGCACGCACAGCTGCACCAGATTCCTGGCGCACCGGTTTTAGTAAATCTGATATGGATTTTAACTCGCAAATACGTGGCCTCTCGGTGGCTGAGCCTTGACAGTTGTGTACCCAATGTAAAAAAAACATATTTCGAGAGCACCCCGGCACATTTACCGGCTCCTCATGGAAAGGTCTCGATTGCCGGGAGCTTTCTGATCATGTGACCGCCATGATAGCCAATCACGGCAGTCACATGGCCCTAGATCCCACCTCCCAGCGTCACAACCCCCTTAAACGGCTGGGAGGCACCAGCGCCAAGGGGTTAAAGGGGGTATTTAAAAAAAAAAGTGTGAGGTCCCCCAGGAAATCCATATTAGACCCTTAAGCCTTAACCATACCAGGCAGATGCCATTAACATTGACAGGTGCCTTGCCAGGAGGACTATCCCCACCCCATGGCAAAGCACCTTGTCTCTATGTCTGTGACAACAAGGGTCTCTTTTCCACTACCCTTGATGTCCTCTTACATCAAGTGTCCCCATCACAGTGTCTCCATCACAGTGTCCCCCATCACAGTGTCTCCATACATCAAGTGTCCCCCATCACAGTGTCCCCATACATCAGGTGTCCCCCATCACAATGTCCCCATACATCAGGTGTCCCCCATCACAGTGCCCCCATACATCAGGTGTCCCCATCACAGGTGTCCCCATACATTCAGGTGTCCCCATCACAGTGTCCCCATACATCAGGTGTCCCCATCACAGTGTCCCCATACATCAGGTGTCCCCATCATGGTGTCCCCATACATCAGGTGTCTTTATCACAGTGTCCCCATACATCAGATGTCCCCATCACAGTGTCCCCATACATTAGGAACCTCTATCACAGTGTCCCCATTCATCAGGTCTCCCTTATCACAGTATCCCCATGCATCAGGTGTCCCCATCACAGTGTCCCCATACATCAGGTGTCTTTATCACAGTGTCCCCATACATCAGATGTCCCCATCACAGTGTCCCCATACATTAGGAACCTCTATCACAGTGTCCCCATTCATCAGGTCTCCCTTATCACAGTGTCCCCATGCATCAGGTGTCCCCATCACAGTGTCCCCATACATCAGGTGTCCCCATCACAGTGTCCCCACACATTAAGGTCCCTTATCACAGTGTCCCCATACATCAAATGTCCCAACCACAGTGTCCCCATGCATCAGGTGTCCCCATCACAGTGTCCCCATACATCAGGTGTCCCCATCACAGTGTCCCCACACATTAAGGTCCCTTATCACAGTGTCCCCATACATCAAATGTCCCAATCACAGTGTCCCCATACATCAGGTGGCCCCATCACAGCCTCCCCATTCATCAGGTGTCCCCACACATTAAGTTCCCCAATCACAGTGTCCCCATACATCAGTTGTCCCCATCGCAGTGTCCCCATACATCAGTTGTCCCCATCGCAGTGTCCTCATACATCAGGTGTCCCCACACATTAGGTTCCCGTGTCACAGTTTCTCTATACTTCGGGTGTCCCCATACATCAGGTGGCCCCATCACAGTGTCCCCATACATCAGGCGACCCCCATCACAGTGTCCGCATACATTAGATTCCCCTATCACAGGGCCCCTTGCATCCAGAGTTGTGCCCTGCCCTTCCCCCTTGTTTTCACAGATCACATGCTGTTCCCATCTTCCCTCTCATCCTGTGCTGAGACTGGGGTGAGTTCTCAGTCTCAGTTCGGGCTCTCTCCCTCCCCGTGCAGCAGGCAGAAGAAAGCTGAATCCCCTCCCCAGCATCAGTCAGCCGCTGTTCCTCTTGACGGGGGGTGACATTGCAGTTACTCCTGTCAAAGAGGAGCTGCAAAGGTGGTCAAACCCAATGTACCCCCAACACAGTGCCTGTTCCCCCCATCCTGGCCTAGATCATGGGCCCTTGAGGCACCTGGGGCCCCCAGGCAGCACCCAGGTTTGCCCATTCATTGAGACAGCTCTGGGAACTTATTGGGCAATCCATAGAGGGTCTGTAATCATAAAATGGTGAGGAGTCCCTGCTGATCTCAATGTGTAACAGGGTGTTGGGGGGTTGGGTGTTGAGTGCTGGCCTCTTTCCACCACCCACCTTCCCACAGTGTGCTGGTGAGGGATGCCAGGCAGGACGGTTTCCTGATGAGAGTTCTGTACTCCGGGCACTACTAGAAGAAACTCACTGGAAAGACTTGTCCTCTGCAGTGGGCTCTGGGTGGCCATCTTGGGGAAGCCAAGGTCTACTATGCGTGCCAGGTTCCTGCAATATTTGGGCCTACTTTGGAAAGACAGAGAGAAGGAAGCAGGTGACACTTCGGTCAGAGAGAGGCACATGGCCCAGTGGAGTGGGGGTGGGTCACCTCATCTTTGTCAGGACTATACCAGCCTGTGAGTACCTATGGCAGGGACCCTGCCCTTAGTGTTGGAGAGCCTACTGGGGACAGACAAGATAGAACTGCTACTCTCCGAGAGACGTCCGAGCGCCCCAGAACTAAAAGTCATGGAAGATGTCTATTCTATGGAAACGTGCCTTAACCACCATGTTGGAAGTGCCTTCTTATAAAAACCAGACTGCTTGCTGACAAGATATATTGAAGTAAAACTGTTAAAACCTGAACCTGACTGGACATTCTGTGTCTGTATTGTTCTGGGAGAGTGTGCATGGAAAGCAGAGAAGGTGTTTGCCACCATTGGACAACTAGGGCTGGAATATCCATCCCGTGTGTTCCATGAGCCAACTGGACATGGTACTCATGGCCTAGTCTACTGGTGGTTTCAATGAACTGTATTGAGAAAGCCCCTTGATAGAGAAGGAGTGGTAATAAGTATCTGTGTGTGTATAGGGGAGCCATGAAAACCAACTGTGGAGGTTGTTCTGGGGTAATCGAGTTCGCTCCCAGGACCGGCCGTTGTGTTGAGAAGATACCAGAAATGAGCTGTGAAACGTGGGTTCTGAACCTGACTGGACATTCTGCGTCTGTATTTTGCTGGGAGAGTGTGCATGGAAAGCAGAGAAGGTGTTTGCCACCATTGGACAACTAGGGCTGAAAAATCCATCCCGTGTGTTCCATGAGCCAACTGGACATGGTACTCATGGCCTAGTCTACTGGTGGTTTCAATGAACTGTATTGAGAAAGCCCCTTGATAGAGAAGGAGTGGTAATAAGTATCTGTGTGTGTATAGGGGAGCCATGAAAACCAAATGTGGAGGTTGTTCTGGGGTAATCGAGTTCGCTCCCCCTGAGGGCCGGCCATTGTGTTGAGAAGATACCAGAAATGAGCTGTGAAACGTGGGTTCTGGGTCTCCAACACTTCCCATGACTGGAACATTTTGGAAAGTCCTTGTTTGACTCAGCAGTTCGCACTTCTTCCTTGCAGCACCCGGGGGCCTTGGTTCAAACCAAGACACTACCTGCATGGAGTTTGCACGTTCTTCCTGCAATTGCATGGGTTTCACCCCACACTCCAAAGACATGATGGTGGATTAATTGGCTCTAGTATGTGTATGTATGCGAGCCAGGGCCCTTGTTGTAAGTTCGAGGGCAGGGATCAGTGCTGGGACAAGGCCATCTAGCGGCGATAGGACATTGTTTACTCCCACTGATGCCAGGACATTTTCTACCCCACCGGCCGCGGTCCGGCCCCCCTAAGGACAGTTAAAGTGGCCCTTTGTAACGTTTGGAGACCCCTGCACTACAGTAAAAAACTATATTCTGGTAAATGTAAGGAGTTCATAGTTGTAACTAAAGTATTCAGTCTATGAATTTCTCTTTTTTATTCCATCGGCCTTTATTTGGATGTACAAGCAGGCCAAGCTGGCCTCCAGATGTGGGACAGATACTGGGGTTGGGACAAATTACATTGCAGGAGGGATTTATAATGGTTACAGAGGAGCGAAACCAAAACTGCTGTTTTACTGCTAGTGACAGACTACATCATATATTTTATATATTACATATTTTGTTGTACTATACTGCATACCTTGCACTTGTACACTCGGCAATGTGCTTTACAGAACATATTGGACATTATTACATGTTAGACACTAGAGGGCAGCAGTACAGTAAGGCTTCAGCACTTTCACTACACAAATCAGCACTATTATCATTATTATTATTATATTATTATACAGTATTTATAAAGCGCCAATAGTTTGCTCAGCGCTGTACATTACAAAGGGGGACAGAACATGTGACAGAACAATACCAAATTTACAATGCAAAACATGAGGGGATCGAGGGCCCTGCTCCTTGGAGCTTACAATCTAGGAGGGAGGGGATGGTGGCACAGGAGGAGATAGCTGTGGGGGATGGGGTGGTAGGAAGAGTGGAGGAGGTCGGCAAGTTAGCAGGGGGTGGGGTAGGCTTCCCCTGAAGAGATGGGTTTTCAGGGTGCGCCTAAAGGAGAGGAGAGTAGGTGATAATCTGATGGGTTGGGGCAGGGAGTTCCAGAGGATGGGTGACACCCTGGAGAAGTCCTGGAGGTGGGCATGGGAGGAGGAGACCAGGGAACTAGAGAGAAGGAGGTTCTTGTGAGGAGCGGAGTGTGTGGAATATCGCGGGGGATGGAAATGTTGGGCGGAACTTGGATATTAGGTAAGTGATGTAAATTTGGGGCAGTATGGTGGACAGCTTTGTACGTCAGTGTTAGGATTTGAATTTGATCCGTTGCGCAATCGGAAGCCAGTGGAGGGATTGGCAGAGGGGGGTGGAGGACACTGAGTGGAGGCCAGTGGAGGGATTGGTAGAGAGGGGTGGAGGACCCTGAGTAGAGGTCAGTGGAGGGATTGGCAGAGAGGGGGTGGAGGACACTGAGTGGGAGGCCAGTGGAGGGCATTGGCAGAGGGGGGTGGAGGACACTGAGTGGAGGCCGGTGGAGGGATTGGGAGAGAGGGGTGGAGGACACTGAGTGGAGGCCAGTGAAGGGATTGGCAGAGGGGGGTGGAGGACACTAAGTGGAGGCCAGTGGAGGGATTGGCAGAGAGGGGTGGAGGACACTGAGTGGAGGCCAAGTAGAGGGATTGGTAGAGAGGGGTGGAGGACACTGAGTGGAGGTCAGTGGAGGGATTGGCAGAGAGGGGTGGAGGACACTGAGTGGAGGCCAGTGGAGGGATTGGCAGAGAGGGGTGGAGGACACTGAGTGGAGGCCAGTGGAGGGATTGGCAGAGGGGGGTGGGGGACACTGAATGGAGGCCAGTGGAGGGATTGGCAGAGGGGGGTGGGGAGGACACTGAGTGGAGGACGTGGAGGCGGTGGAGGGATTGGCAGAGGGGGGGTGGAGGACACTGAGTGGGGAAACCAGGCCGGTGGAGGGAATTGGCAGAGGGGGGTGGAGGACACTGAGTGGAGGCCGGTGGAGGGATTGGCAGAGGGGGGTGGAGGACACTGAGTGGAGGCCGTTGAGGGATTGGCAGAGGGGGGTGGAGGAGATGGAGCGGTTGGAAAGGTGAATGAGTCTGGCAGCCGTATTCAGGATGGACTGAAGCGGGGATAGCCAGGGGTGAGGCAGGTCAGTGAGGAGGGAGTTGCAGTAGTCAAGTCGTGATATGATGAGGGAGTGGATGAGCTGTTTAGTGGTTTCTGGGGTTTTTAATTTATAATAATAATAATTTATTATTATATATTATTCAGGGTTTATGAAGCACCAACAGTTTGTGCAGTGCTTTATTACTATTATTTTATTATTGTATAGGATTTATATGTTAGTACCAACAGTTTATGCAGCAGTTTATTTATAGTATATTTATTATTATTATTATTATTATTATTATTATTAATAATAATAATAATATATCGGAATATATATATAAATATATACGCTAACAGGTTGCACGGCAGTTTATGATTTGTTACTGTACAGGAAATTTATATAGTGTCAAACACTTTGCGCAAAGCTTTATTACTATTATTATTATTTAGGATTTACATAGCGCCAGCAGTTTGCACAGTGCTTTATTTCTATTAGAGATTATTATTTTTATTATTAATATTATTATTATTCAGGATTTATATAGCGCCAACATGCAAAGCCATCCACGACTCTTCTTCCTAAGTCATGTCACCATCCTTGTTTTAATATATCAGCCAATCCATCCAAGACCTCCTGCTCTCTAACTCCCTCATCACCTCCACCCATGTTCACCTTCAGGATGTCTCCAGAGCCTCTCCCATCCTCACAGACCGTCATACCCCAATCTGTCCGGTTATCTCCTATTATGCCCATCTTTAGATGATCGGATGAAAAATTCATCTCTTTAGGGAAAACTTTTAACTATCTTAACTCTACCTAAACAACTGGACTTTTTACTTTATCAGCCCATCCCCCTCACAATTATTACCCTCTGTATCACTAGCCCCTCTTTGATTGTAATCTCTTGTGGGCGGGGCCCTCTGAACTCTCTTGTATTTTATTGTATTGTAACTGTACTGTCTGTCTTTATATTGTAAAGCGCTGCGCGCAGACTGTTGGTGTTGTATACATCCTGTATAATAATATATAATTTGATGGTCTACATTGTATCATCAGAAGGTCTACATTATGTAATCTGATGGTCTGCATTGTATCATCTGATGGTCTACATTGTATCATCTGATGGTCTACATTGAATCATCTGATGGTCTGTATTATATCATCTGATGGTCTGTATTATATCATCTGATGGTCTACATTATGTCATCTGATGGTCTACATTATATCATCTGATGGTCTACATTGTATCATCTGATGGTCTGTATTATATCATCTGATGGTCTACAGGTCTACATTGAATCATCTGATGGTCTGTATTATATCATCTGATGGTCTACATTGTATCATCTGATGGTCTGTATTATATCATCTGATGGTCTACATTGTATCATCTGATGGTCTGTATTGTATCATCTGATGGTCTACATTGTATCATCTGATGGTCTACATTGTATCATCTGATGGTCTGTATTGTATCATCTGATGGTCTACATTGTATCATCTGATGGTCTGTATTATATCATCTGATGGTCTACATTATGTCATCTGATGGTCTACATTGTATCATCTGATGGTCTACATTATGTAATCTGATGGTCTGCATTGTATCATCTGATGGTCTGCACTGTATTATCTGATGGTCCACATCTGGGGTCAACAACCAGTAGATTGGGAACTGCCAATAGATCGTGGCCAGGTGACTGGCAGATGATGGCCTGGGCTTGCTGACCCGCGATTTTCAGAGCATCACTCAGAGTGCAATGCAGAGGGACTACTTGTAAAGTTGGATCTGTAGTAGGGAGCAAGAGCTGCATAAGCCAATGCCTCATATGTACTGCTGGCTCCTGTCCCATGACACCAACTGCACTCCACATTTTATCCCGGCTAGCAGCCTCCAGTGTGGTGCCAGCAGAAGGAAAGAGGAGATCCTCAGATCAGTGTGACGAAATACACTGGGCATAATAGTGTAAGGCTGCTTTCACACTGATCTGCTGAGGTTTCCCCACACCAGAGTACAGTGCAGTGTTCCTGCGGGTTTGCTGCGACTAGCCATAGATTTCCATTATATCTTCCTTGTTTGGTGCACATTATGAAAGTGCACCAAAACTCTTGAATGGAGGAGTTTTGGTGTGCTTTCAGAAAGTGCACCACACCTGCAAGTGCAACAGACACTGATACTGAAAAGCAATCCAAGTGTGGCTGATAGGTGATGAGGAGGCGATATGTTGCCTCCTCACCACCTGATTTAAAGCCATGATAGCCATGCCATGCACACAATTATGACACGGTATTATGGCAATTAGAGGTTTACATCAGGTGTGGGGAGGCAACACTGTGCCCAGTGATCTTTGACTCCTCCCATGTTGTTCAGGTAGATCTCCACCTCTTTAAGGATGCCCACCACTGGTCTACATTGTATCATCTGATGTTCAGCTTTGTATCATCTGATGGTCTCCATTGTATCATCTGATGTTCTCCATTGTATCATCTGATGGTCTCCATTGTATCATCTGATGTTCTATATTTAATCATCTGATGGTCTCCATTGTATCATCTGATGTTCTCCATTGTATCATCTGATGGTCTCCATTGTATCATCTGATGTTCTATATTTAATCATCTGATGGTCTCCATTGTATCATCTGATGGTCTCCATTGTATCGACTGATGTTCTATATTTAATCATCTGATGGTCTACATTGTATCATCTGATGGTCTCCATTGTATCTTCTGATGGTCTACATTGTACCATCTGATGCTCTACATTATGTCATCGGATGGTCTCCATTATGTCATCTGATGATCGGCATTGTATGATCTGATATTCTCCATTGTATTATCTGATGCTCTACATTGTATCACCTGATGGTATACATTGTATCATCTGATGTTCTATATTTTATCATCTGATGGTCTCCATTGTATCATCTGATGTTCTACATTGTATCGTCTGATGGTCTACTTTGTATCATCTGATGGTCTACATTATGTCATCTGATGCTCTACATTATGTCATCTGATGCTCTACATTGTATCATCTGATATTCTCCATTGTATTATCTAATGGTCTGTATTGTATCATCTGATGGTCTCCATTGTATTATCTGATGGTCTGTATTGTATCATCTGATGGTCTACATTGTATCATCTGATGGTCTACATTGTATCATCTGATGGTCTGTATTGTATCATCTGATGGTCTCCATTGTATCATCTGATGGTCTACATTGTATCATCTGATATTCTCCATTGTATTATCTGATGATCTACATTGTATCATCTGATGGTCTGTATTGTATCATCTGATGGTCTCCATTGTATCATCTGATGGTCGACATTGTATCATCTGATGGTCGACATTGTATCATCTGATGGTCTCCATTGTATCATCTGATGGTCTGCATTTATTCATCTGATGGTCTGCATTGTATCATCTGATGGTCTCCATTGTATCATCTGATGGTCTCCATTGTATCATCTGATGGTCTCCATTGTATCATCTGATATATTCTAAAGCCCTCCTAATCCTCTTGTATTGGATTGTATTAAAAATGTGCCATGTCTCCCTATTTTGTAAACACATATCTTTTGGTGCTACATACAGTAAATCCGGTATAGTAATAATAATATAGTTAAATCATTTCTATTTTGGTGTAATTGGTTGCTGTTTTAAGTGGGGGGTGGTCACAGACAACCAACAACCCCCCAGTGATCTTCAACTGTAGAGGACAACAAATCATCCTGGATGGTGACTTCATCAGAAATCAAATAACATACATATGAACTGTCCCTCTCTACTCCACTAGACACCATTATCTATCTCCGGAACCTTGAGAACCCTTGGTGTTTGGCTCAGGTTGACCTCATTTTTTCGTCATTATAGATAAAATTCTGCCATTATGTTTTATGGGTTAGGATAGTTTAGATGTTCTTCTTCTGAATCTGTTCTGTCCACAAATGTTTATTATGACACAGATACAAATTTAATATCAGATTTGCTTTAGATGACCTACAATGTAATTATAAAGTTGTTATCTTGCTCAGCCAATGAACAGGACATTTATAGATCTAAAAGGCGTGTGGACATATTTATGAAGCTGGCACACCCACACGTGAGGCCCAGGAGAAGGATATAAGGAGCTCAGTGCAGCATGAGGAAGGACACAATTTATATGTTGGACACATTTCCATCTTTCACCTGAAACAGAGGAAGGATACTATGGAGAGACACACACGACAACCTCCCACTATCTCTGCCACTCCATCCCAAGGCCACCTGGGAGACCATTCAGAATCCGGTGCAAGAAGACAGCAGGTCTAATAATCTACATTAATCATAGTGTGTGACTGTGGGGGAAATTAGAGTGTAAGCTCCTCTGGTACAGAGACTGATGTGACTGTGGGGGAGGGGAAATTAGAGTGTAAGCTCCTCTGGTACAGAGACTGATGTGACTGTGGGGGAGGGGAAATTAGAGTGTAAGCTCCTCTGGTACAGAGACTGATGTGACTGTGGGGAGGGGAAATTAGAGTGTAAGCTCCTCTGGTACAGAGACTGATGTGACTGTGGGGGAGGGGAAATTAGAGTGTAAGCTCCTCTGGTACAGAGACTGATGTGACTGTGGGGAGGGGACATTAGAGTGTAAGCTCCTCTGGTACAGAGACTGATGTGACTGTGGGGAGGGGACATTAGAGTGTAAGCTCCTCTGGTACA